TTTGAGATATGACCGGAAAAAGGCTCCCTCCCTCTCTCCTTTCCTGCCCTTTTTTAAACCTTAGAGGTCATCTTAGTTTTTTTAAAAAGGTGGATGGATTTACTGCTTTTGCATTTGTTCCTATGGGAACTAATGCTTTTATTCCTGTCCAGCGCCTAGAGATACAACCAAAAAACCCGTCCAGAATGGATTAATCACGTTTCAATGTATTCCTGTGGGAAATGGTGCTTTGAGTTACGACCATCATTCCAGAACGAATTAAGTTTGCAACTCAAGGCACCACTGTAATCTGTTTACTGTGTAATCATTTTTTCTTTTTGATGTGCGTTTTCTTTTTAATTAAGTTTGCAACTCTGTGTAATAATTTTTTTCTTTTTGATGTGCGTTTTCTTTTTGATATGCGTTTTCTTTTTGATATGCGTGTAATACATGTGTTTCTTAATCAGATAGGTAGGTTTGTCAGGGTGGAGCACTTGGCTGTAGAAACAGGGAGTAGGATTTTCATTCTCTAGTCAGTCTGACCATCTACCTAAGAACCCTTTTAAAGACCTCTAGAGCAAAATCAGACGCCTGTGTTCGTTGCCGCTTTAAGCAGATGGGTAACGTCTGCTGAAACAAAAATAGTACCATGCCTAGCCAGTGATTCTACAGCCTAGTTTAAATGCCAACGGAATGCCTGAAGAAAAAGATATTTGCCTGCTGGCAGGAAGCATGAGAGAGAATGTCAATTTAGCCTTTATTCTAAGGACTTGCAGAGTTTTGGTCTGACTGCTGAGTAAGCCATCACTCCATGAGACATACCTCTGGTGGCTGAGGACCAAAATAAACGCTTCCCTGGCATCTAGGCAGGCTTGTGTTGAGCTGAGCTGAGGGGGAAATAACGCCTCCCAGAAAGTGTGACTGCTGGCAACCCAGGAGTTTTTAGACCAACCAGGGACTTGAACCCAAGTCTCTCGAGTCTTAGCTTGTCATTCTGTCCACGATATTACACTGACTCTCAAGCATAGTTATTAAGGTGTAAACAACATTGAATGGCTTCTTACTATTACATACCTTGAAGTGCCTTGTCAGTCTGTTTTGTGAATGCAGTGTGGTACTAACTGAAAGCTTTCCGTTGTAGCTTAAAGGTGTGTGTGTGTATGGGAGGAGGGGAAAAAAAAGGAAATTACAGAATATTTAAAAAATATCCTCTGAATATTCTTGGAGCTTGAGTTTTACAGAAGGTAGGCATAAACATACTCTTGAGTCTTGCTGACGCAGGAATGGTTTGATATGACCATGTTACCACAGCAGTTCCATTCCCATATATCCTGTCTCGATCTTCTTTTGAAGCTTGTATTTGACATCTTCCAACACCTCACAAGTCCTGAACCTGGGCCTTTTCTTCTCATTGGCTCATTCGTAGACTTTCCTGTTCTGCAAAGTTGTCTAATGATGGTTAATTCGCCCTAACCCCAATGCACTCATTGCTGACTAACAAACAATTCAGCCTTTAACAATTCAGTTGCTTACAGTTGACCCAGTTCTGGACCTGTTCAACAGGATTATTGAACTAGTTCTAACAAACAAACTACGTTTTCATGCCTTATTATTTTTATTTTATTTTATCATTTTTTGTGAAAAAAATATTTTTTCACAATGGTAACAAACCATGCAATAAGGTTCCCCCCCCCCTTTTTTTTTTCCTTTTCTTATTTGAGATATAACTAACCACTTTAGGGAAATCTTTAAAAACCTCAGCCCAACAGTTCATTGTATTTAGGTGGAAGTATTAGGCATAATCACAAATAATAAATTCAAAATCTTGTTTTTCTGTGCATTCTTACAGCTGAGTGCAACCACTTACACATGTAGAAATGCTTCAAAAATCTAACTTATGGGAGAGTGTTTCTAATCTTGTTCACTCTGAACAAATTGAGCATGGGAACATCTTTGTGATAGGTAAAACAGCTTCCTATGGTTAGCTCCGTGGTTTAGGTATCTGGCTGTGGAGCCAGAGGTTGTGGGTTAACTATAGGGTCCCTTCCAGCTCTGCAATTCTAAGTTTATATCTAGCCACTTTTGACCTTTTTTAAAAAATGGCAAGCTGATTTAGCAGAACTTTTGTACTTATCAATTTGCTGATGCTTGATTGATAATAACAACCTTTGAACTGCAGACCTGGAAGGTACCCGATGGATAATCAAGTAAGGGGAAAGAAAGGAGAAATAAATAAATGTACAGTATCATTGCCTTCCTATCTAAACAAATCTGCTTGTCTCGTCCCCTTTAATAGTCAACCTATCATTTTCCAGATATAATCCTTAGGGAGTCTGGCAATTGGCCTTGGTGTTATGTTGTGTTGTTACGTGCTGTCAAATTGGAACTGACTTATAATGACCCTAATAGGGCTTTCAGGGCAAGTGAGATATTTAAGGAGTTGTTTTACCATTTCCCACACACCGGTGAGTTTACATGGCTAAGCAAGGATTTGAACCCAGGCCTCCTGAGTACTAGTCTGTCACTCTATCCACTATATCACATTAGGTATCACTTTGCTGGTAGGGGATAATGGGAATTATAGTCCAGGACAGTCTTCCAGGTGAGGATTGGCTGAGTTAATTCTTACTTAGCCAATGTTGTATGAAGTCGGCTAGAAATCTTATGGTGTCATTCAACATCATTGTTTCTGCTGTCCTCTTTAGTTTCATGAGGTGAAACTGCTAGGGCAGCGGTCCCCAACCTTGGGCCTCCAGGTGTTCTTGAACTTAAACTCCCGGAAATCATGGCCAGCAGAGGTCAACATCTGGAGGCCCAACGTTGGGAGCCCCTTTGCTGGGGGATAGAAAGTAGCCTTTGAGAGGCTAGTATCTGCTTCAGGAGCATTGGCTACCATTTATATTGTTAGAACTAACTGTGCCTGAATGATAACCTGGTAAGGCTTGTTTCCTGCCCTGCTGCCATTCTGTTCAGGATGGCCTCCCTGGCTACCATTTATATTGTTAGAATTAACTGTGACTGAATGATAACCTGGCCTGCTGCCATTCTGTTCAGGATGGCCTCCTTCAGAAACAGAGCAAGTTGCTTTTATATCAAGTCTTACTAATTCATCCAACTCAGTGCTGACTGGCAGTGGTTCTCCCAGGTTCCATGCAGTTGGCATATCTGGCTCATCCTGGAGATTCCAGAGATGTAACTAGGAATATTCCTCATACAAGATATGTAGTCTGCCACCCATCTGAGACCATTCCCTAATACTTGCCACAGGTTGGAACAAGCTTTAATTATGTTCTTGTTTGTCTTGCATTCACATGATAGGCACTTTGTGTTCCATGCCATTTTGCTGCTCCCAGCTGCTTTGCCTCCCCCTTGTTGTGACCTCTTTGTGCTCAGTGTGTTCTTACGTTTATTTCCTGGCCTTGGAAAACTGGAAGTGAGCTGGCATTCAGATTTTCAATTCATAATTCTTTTAAATATATCAGTCATGTCTTGCTTGGATGTTCTCATTTGATTCCAGAATGTTTATGATTGTTGAGTTTGATATTTTATAGTTGCATCTTTACCCCGGTCCATAAATCTACATTCAAACTGGCTCCTATTACAATGTGATCTTGGAAATTAACCTTGAATGTCTTCCAGTGTTGTATTGATACTAACTTTGCAGGAAAATATCTCTGGTGCCAAGGCAAGGTAGCCATAACTGTGTTCAACAAATAGTAATCACAGCAATTAATATGTCCACTCCTTTGAAAGACTGTGGTTCTTAAACTAACTTTCCCATGATGTGCTGTTTTTAAAAAATGGCTTGCTTGCTTGCTTGTTTGTTTATTTTAAAATAACATATCCCACCCAACTTAGTGGGACCACCACTCTCGGCAGTCATTATAATATGATATAAATTGTAACTCCCATCCAACCGTTTCCCAACATAATACAGTGTTGCCTCGCTAGACGATTGCCTTGTGGGACGAAAAACCCGCAAGATGATTGTTTTTTGCACTCACTATGGTGACTCGCAAGATGTTTTTTTCTATGAATGTGCTTCACAAGACTTTTTTTTGAGACCGATGCTTCGCAAGACTTTTTTTTTGACTGATGCTTCGCAGTACTTTTTTTTTTGAGACTGGTGCATAGGGAACCTCGCAAGACGATTTTTTCACAAGACGATGATTTTCATGGAACAAATTAAAATCGTCTTGCGAGGCACCACTGTACATAAAAATATAAATCCCAGACTAATAAAGCAACAAATGATGATCTTATATCTCTTGTTTAGGCTGCTAACCAAGTACTGCTTTCTTGTTCCTCAACAAGTTTATTTCCTGATAAAGTAGTTCTTGGCCTAGAAAATTTCCTTGTCTGTTCTGCAGTGGGTTAACACACCTACTTTTCTGGCATCAACCTTGTCTTCAGTTTCTCTTGTGTTTGTTGACTGTACCTGGAGGTCTCAGAAATTTAGCCAATAAGCTAGGTAGAACACCTTTCAACCTGCTCTATCTTTGGCTTCATCCCAAACTTATTTGCAGCTTTTGTAACCTGATGTTTGTGCAGCTGCTTTGCCTCCCCCTTGTTGATGTTTGTGCAGCTGCTTTGCAGGGAGATGGATCAGCAGTCTGTAACATTTTCTGCTAATAAAAAGCATGGACACAATTGATTTCTCCTTAAACTCTGGCTTAAAGTAGCTATATCTACACAAACCCACATACTAAAATTTTGAGACTGCTTTATTTGCATGTCAAGCCTCTCGCATTAAATTGCAGTTGACTTTTACTTGTTTATTTCTTCTGTTTTTAACCAACAAACGTTGCATGAATGAAACCAGTACATCCATTTCCTTACCTTCTACAACCTGATTTGAGAGCAGGCTTTTTGCACTACAAGCCTTCAGCTTAGTAATTACATAATGTGGCTGCTTTGGGCCGAAAGGAAACAATGCTGATTTCTTTTTCATTCATTCTTTTTTCTAAGGAAAGGGGGGGGCAGATTCTACTATTTCATCTTTTCTTTTTTATTTTTCAAAGCTTTTAAGATACACTTTGGATAAACAAGAGCTTCAGCGAGTGAGGATCATTGCCAGCGATAACCTGTGGGAGCCAATTTCCTTTCTTGTGCTGCTTGACTCTGAGCTCCGTGAAGCAGTCGATATTATTGGGTAGGGCTTCTTTTCAAAGCTGATCCTTTCCTCCATAACCCCCTGTGATAACATCTGGTAGATAACAGCTTTTGCAAAGTTTTATCTTTTTTCTGAAATATTAGCATAGCACATATATGCTAGTCAACAATATTATCCTCTGTTTCCAGGAAAGTTGCTTCAGGATAGGACAGCTTTGAGGGCAAAAGCATAAAGGGATTCTTCAACCTTTCCTGGGCTGCTGCTTCATTCGTCCAAATTTTGAGTTACTGTAGTTCCATTTGGTTTCAACTGTGTTTACAAAATGGAGTGTGTTTAATACTCTGACAAGAAAAGAGTAACGAGGGAGGTACATATTTACGGTAGAAAAGTAGTGTGAAGTGGTTGATTGTGGTTGGAGGTCTCCTCTACCACTTTGGTGATTAAAATTACTTCTTCACAAATGTATTTATTTGGTTTATAGGCTAAAATCCAGTAGCAAGTTGCAACTTGATTAGGTCCACTGAATCAGTGGGGATTTGGTGAGCCATCTCTCTAAATTCCTTTGGTTCAATAGGTCTTCTTCATTAAACTACTGGATTTCAGCCATAGTCTGTCTCCCCCCCCCCCCCGGATCTAGGGTAGCTCACAAGACAACGTAGAGTTACAAAAGCGGCAGACAAAACTGCCTGAGGAATTCTAATTGTTGTAGTCCAGAAGCAGAAATCTGTATGCCTCTGATATAAAGTTGTGATAACCCCTCAAAGAAGTAAGCATAAACGGAAGTTATTAAATACTTTATACACAATTGAATTAAAAGCAAACCCAACTGAATTGAAATCACACAGTTGATGAAAAGCTCTTGCCTGAGGAGACCAACTAAGTTGCCAAAAGCCTGCTTGAATAAATAGGTGTATGTTTGCTGGTAGAATCACAGCAAGGGGCAGGCTGCCCAATGGTCTCTCTATGGAGAGAATTCCATAGCTTGGGAGCCACCCCTGAATGGACTCCTGCCATACTTCAATGAAATATGGCTCTTAATATGTTGAGATCAAGAGAAAGATCTCACCTGAAAATCTCAAGAGATTTGGGAAGATTGCAGGGAGAATACAAGCTTTCTCCCAAAGTGTATGCTCACCATCCACCAATGTCAGTATCAATTTATATGCATTGTTAATTAAATTTTCTGGAAGCAAGGAAGCTGTATAGGTACATTGGAACAAAAGCAGCAGAGTCTTGTGGGACTTGCAAAAGCTGACAAGAAGCCTTTACCGGCTCACTTCATCATGCAGAGTACCTGATGAAGTGGACTGCAATCCATGAAAGCTTGTGCCATGGGAGATGTCTTACCCTTTAGGAATGGAGCAAGACAGGACGTTGGTCCAGGGCTTCAGGCAGGAGTCTTCCTTAACTGTATCTAGACATGTGGGTGTTTGAATTTAAGATATGTGCCATGGTGTCTTCCTGGGCACCACAAGACTCTAAATTGGTGCTGTGTCTGTCTGTCTGTCTGTCTGTCTAACTGACTGACTGACTGACTGACTGACTGACTAACTAACTAACTAACTAACTAACTAACTAACTAACTAACTAACTAACTAACTAACTAACTAACTAACTAACTAACTTATATGCCGCCCACTCTACCCAAAGGTCTCTGGGCGGCTTACAACAATTGAAATTCAATTAAAATACAATAAAAGATAAAATGATTAAAATACAATTAAAATTGCCATCAGGACTCATAGTTGATGTTATTTCAATTAAAAGCCTTCTGGAACAGGAAGGTTTTGACCTGGCGCCGAAATGTCATCAACATTGGCGCCAGATGAATTTCAGTCGGGAGAGCATTCCATAGTCTGGGGGCAGCTGCATAGTTAGCTAATGCATAGTTAATGCATAGTTAGCTTGGAGTTATAGACTCGGGGAGATGGACCTATTTCTGGTGTCATGTTTTGGTAGGCTGACATCCGTTGTGCCTTTTTTTGAAGCTTGGTTGGTTAGTTACATGCCATATAATGACCATAATAGGGCTTTCAAGGTAAGTGAGATATTTAAGGAGAGGTTTTGCCAGTCTTACTTCAGTGAGCCAAGTAGGGAATTGAACCACAGTATCAGAGTCCTATTCAGTCACTCTGTGCACTATGCCACACTGGGCATACTTTTGAAGCTTGGGTAGTAGTAATTTCTAATACTTGCTCTGGGTAAACGTGCCCATTTTTGCATCAACAGTTGGGTTTTTGTGGCTCAATTGTAGCATATTTTCTGCAGAATTTTCAAAACGTGAACAATGGACCTATTTGTCTTGGTTGTGGTGAAAGGGGTTTTGGGTTTAAGTCAGCCACTGAGAAATACTTTTGTGTATCTCGTTGTAGGTTTTAAAATATACAGTGGTGCCTCACATAGCGAGGTTCATCCATTCCGGATTAACCCTCGCTATGTGAAAACATCGCTAAACGGAACGTAAAAACCCATTGGAACGCATTAAACATTGTTTAATGTATTCCAATGGGCCCTAAACTTACCGTTCAGCGAAGTTTCCTCCATAGCGGCAGCCATTTTCGCCCCCTCGGTAAGCGAGGCGAGGGCGCGAAAATGCTGTGCGCGGCCATTTCGGGGCTTCCGGCGGCCATTTTGTAACCGCCGAACAGCTGATCCGCGGGCATCGCAAAGCGAAGATCAGTAAGCGAAACGCTTACCGTTCGTCGCTATGCGAGTTTTTGCCATAGGGACCGATGCTATGCCTCCGCATTAGTGATCCCGAAAAAGGGATCGCTATGTGAATTCGTCGTTATACGGTGCGCTCGTTAAGCGAGGCACCCCTGTATTTTGTTCTTAAGGGTAAATTAGAGGTCTTACTGATACAGCACCTCTTTAAAAGCAATTGGGAAGGAATACAGTGAAGCTGCTATTTTGAGTCTTGGTCCAGAGTCTTGTTGTTTGGTGACCTTAGCTTCTCGTTTCTTTGACTCCTCATTAGTAATAATAATGGAGAAGGAGTAAAGAGGCTACACTGTTAACCAGGATGTTTCTATTTTCAAATGTCATGTTTGTTGTGAACTCACTGTGAACCTACTTCAGAGGTTGAAGATAAGACAGACTGGCTTGCCAGCTTCAAAATGGAAAAAAACCAGAGCTTAGAAAAGCTGTAACTCCTGCTGTTCAGAAGAGTTTGGGAGTTGTAGTCTAAAAGAGGCCAGAAATTAATCTCTGGGAATGTGCACCACAGACCTGTAGTAAAGGTTACTGAGATGTGTGTGGAACACTTCATTCTTCAGAAACCTGTGTAAATGCTAACATCTGGTGTAATTTTCCCCCTTTAGAAATGTGATATGTAAATGACAGTATTTGTCAGGACCACATAAAACCATGAGGTCTTGGAAGCTCAATGTTCTGTTTTTGTTGCAGAGTTTTGAATTTTTGGTTACATTTCTCTAGCTGCACAATAGAAGTACAGGGATTCACAGAGCAGAATGGCTTCAAGTTCCTCAGAGTAACCCACCCCTTTTCTTATTAGCTGGCACTTATAGTTTCAGTCCCCTTCATGGATTGCTGCCTTGTCCAAAGCCGTAAGGACGCTCAGCTGTGGACACGCCTGGAAGTGAAAGGAAAATCCAATGCTGCAAAGAAAAATACTGCATAGGAACCTGGAATGTAAGATCTATGAACCTTGGGAAGCTGGAGGTGGTCAAACAGGAGATGGCAAGAATAAACATTGACATCCTGGGCATCAGTGAACTAAAATGGACAGGAATGGGCGAATTCAGCTCAGATGATTATCATATCTACTATTGTGGGCAAGAATCCCGTAGAAGGAATGGAGTAGCCCTCATAGTCAACAAAAGAGTGGGAAAAGCTGTAATGGGATACAATCTCAAAAATGATAGAATGATGTCAATACCAATCCAAGGCAGACCATTCAACATCACAATAATCCAAATTTATGCACCAACCAGCATTGCTGAGGAGACTGAAATTGAACAATTCTATGAAGATTTACAACACCTTCTAGAACTGACACCAAAGAAAGATGTTCTTCTCATTCTAGGGGACTGGAATGCTAAAGTAGGGAGCCAAGAGATAAAAGGAACAACAGGGAAGTTTGGCCTTGGAGTTCAGAACGAAGAAGGACAAAGGCTAATAGAGTTTTGTCAAGAGAATAAGCTGGTCATCACAAACACTCTTTTCCAACAACACAAGAGGCGACTCTACACATGGAAATCACCAGATGGGCAATATCGAAATCAGATTGATTATATTCTCTGCAGCCAAAGATGGAGAAGCTCTATACAGTCAGCAAAAACAAGACCTGGAGCTGACTGCGGCTCTGATCATCAGCTTCTCATAGCAAAATTCAAGCTTAGACTGAAGAGAGTAGGAAAAACCACTGGGCCACTCAGGTATAATCTAAACCAAATCCCTTATGAATACACAGTGGAAGTAAAGAACAGATTTAAGGAACTAGATTTGGTGGACAGAGTGCCTGAAGAACTTTGGATAGAGGCTCGTAACATTGTCCAAGAGGCAGCAACGAAAACCATCCCAAAGAAAAGGAAATGCAAGAAAGCAAAGTGGCTGTCCAACGAGGCCTTAGAAATAGCAGAGAGGAGAAGGGAAGCAAAATGCAAGGGAGATAGGGAAAGTTACAGAAAATTGAATGCAGACTTCCAAAGAATAGCAAGGAGAGACAAGAGGGCCTTCTTAAATGAACAATGCAAAGAAATAGAGGAAGATAACAGAAAAGGAAAGACCAGAGAGCTCTTCAGGAAAATTGGAGATATTAGAGGAACATTTTGCGCAAAGATGAACATGATAAAAGACAAAAATGGGAAGGACCTAACAGAAGCAGAAGACGTCAAGAAGAGGTGGCAAGAATACACAGAGGAATTATATCAGAAAGATGTGGATATCCCGGACAACCCAGACAATGTAGTTGCTGACCTTGAGCCAGACATCCTGGAGAGCGAAGTCAAGTGGGCCTTAGAAAGCCTGGCTAACAACAAGGCCAGTGGAGGTGATGGCATTCCAATTGAACTATTTAAAATCTTGAAAGATGATGCTGTTAAGGTGCTACATTCAATATGCCAGCAAGTTTGGAAAACTCAACAGTGGCCAGAGGATTGGAAAAGATCAGTCTACATCCCAATCCCAAAGAAAGGCAGTGCCAAAGAATGCTCCAACTACCGTACAATTGCACTCATTTCACACGCTAGCAAGGTTATGCTCAAAATCCTACAAGGTAGGCTTCAGCAGATATGGAGGCAGTGACAGATTTTATTTTCCTGGGCTCCATGATCACTGCAGATGGAGACAGCAGCCATGAAATTAAAAGACGCCTGTTTCTTGGGAGGAAAGCGATGACAAATCTTGACAGCATCTTAAAAAGCAGAGACATCACCTTGCCAACAAAAGTCCGAATAGGCAAAGCTATGGTTTTTCCTGTCGTGATGTATGGAAGTGAGAGCTGGACCATAGAGAAAGCAGACCGCCGAAGAATTGATGCCTTTGAATTGTGGTGCTGGAGGAGGCTCTTGAAAGTCCCCTGGACTGCAAGGAGAACAAACCTATCAATTCTAAAGGAAATCAACCCTGAGTGCTCACTGGAAGGGCAGATCCTGAAGTTGAGGCTCCAGTACTTTGGCCATCTAATGAGAAGAAAAGACTCCCTGGAAAAGCCTCTGATGATGGGAAAGTGTGATGGCAAGAGGAGAAGGGGACGACCGAGGATGAGATTGCTGGACAGTGTCTGCGAAGCAACCAACATGAATTTGACACAACTCTGGGAGGCAGTAGAAGATAGGAGGGCCTGGCGTGCTCTGGTCCATGGGGTCACAAAGAGTCGGACACGACTAAACGACGACGATAGTTTCAGTAACTCACTTTGAGATGTTAGTAGTTGTAAGAATACTACTAGTACTAATTTTGTTTACTTACCCGCGTGAACAGATCAAACAGCAAACTGAAACCATTTCCATCAGACTTCAACAGACTAAAGAGAAGGGAAAAAAAACATTCAGCAGAGAGGTGTGACTCTCTTTGAATTCAGAAGCAGGAAAGGAATGATTGGTTAGTGCTGGATAGATTGGCAGTCAACCCAGCCCAGAAAGGCCTTTCTCAGCCACACCTACTAGAGACAGCATGTGAGGTTATAAAAACTTGCAACAGTTTTCTAGATAATGAACTAACTAACTCTGTATCATGTCCAGTTAGATTGCTGTAAGGATAAAAGAAAATTTCTAATTTCGTTAGGTGATCAGTGAATTGTTAAGCATATTTATTTTATTAATTTCTTAGTTGCATAAAAATATAGCACTTTCCTTCAGTGAGCTCAAAGTGTACATGCATCTCCTCCTCCCTACTTTCTGCCCAGAACGATCATCTGTGGTTGGGCATGCTCAGAGAATAGGACTGGTGCAAGGTCAAACAGTAAAGCCGGGATTTGGACCCAATTCTCCTGAGTCCTAGTTCAACACCCTGATCACTACACAACACTAGCCAAGTACTATTAAACCTCTTTCAGACACAGTGGTACCTCGACTTGAGAATGTCCCTACATGAGAACGATTCGAGTTAAAAATGGCTCTGTTCGCAAAAAATTGCTTCAACTTGAGAACGGTGCCTCGACATAAGAACCAAAAAAAGAAAAAGAAAACCTTTCCTTCCCCTTTTTTGACCTAATTTCAGCTTAGGTCAAAAGAAGAAGAAAAATTCACTCCCCTAGTGGTAGATACAGATTAACTGGCTTTGCATTAGTTCCTATGGGAACTAATGCTTCGATTTAAGAACAGTGACTTGACTTAAGAATGAAAAACAGCAGATACGGATTAAATGGTTTTCAGTGCATTCCTATGGGAAATGGTGCTTTGACTTAAGAACATTTCGATTTAAGAACGCAGTCCCAATATGGATTAAGTTCTTAAGCCGAGGTACCACTGTATATTTAGAGCGTGATCTTTTCTTCAGAATGATTACTTGCAAAGCAGGCACAACAGTGTACTTTTATGACTTAATGAAGTGTATTTAGAGTGACTGCGTGGAATTAAAATGCCTACTTTTCTTTCTTTGGCTTTTACCCAGGGCTCATTACCCAGGAACAACAACAGTGCTTAATGCCTTGCTAACCCAAAAGAAACTTTGGTCTTCAGAAGACTACAGCACTTTCAACAATGAAGTGGGTGCCGGCTGCTGGGCACGAATTCTCAATCAAAACTTTGTGAATGGGAACATGACTGCGTATGTCTTGGTGCACATGATATAAACGTGTGTCTATGTTTGTGTGTGTGTATGTATAAACCAGTAATAATGGGTGTAAGGTGTAGTTAAAAATGCTGGTCTCATTTCATGTACAGTGTTGCCTCGCATAGCTACGATAATCCGTGCAGCAAAAATCGCTGCAAAGCGATCTCGTCGCTACGCGATATTAAAAAGCCCATAGGAATGCATTGAAACCCCTTCAGTGCATTCCTATGGGCTTCAGACTCACCTTTAAGGGAAAATCCTCCATACGGTGGCCATTTTTGCTGCCCGGTAAGCGAGGAATCCGTTCCAGAAAACAGCGGACGGCCATTTTTTTTACCCGGCGGCCATTTTGGAACCGCCGATCAGCTGTTAAAAAATTATCGCGTTGCACTGATCGGTAAGCGAAACAGGGTACCGATCTTCGCAAAGCGATTTTTCCCCATAGGGAACATCGCAAAGCGATCGCAAAAGCGATCACAAAATCTTCATTGCTATGCAATTTCATCGTTAAACGGGGCGCCCGTTAAGCGAGGCACCACTGTACAGTACTTGGAAGGTGTAGCTGCTGATACAGTATTTCTAACTAATATAGTCCCTATGGGCTAGAAGTATGAACCACTGGTTTGTCAGTTTGTGATGGTTCGGCCAACAGCTTAACAGGTGTTCCGTGATTTGGTGCCCTGCCCCCTCTGGCGGGCACCCACCTGGAGACAGTGGCTCTGGCTTCCCTGCCCTTCCTCTTCAGAGCCTGGTTCTGAGTGGGCACCTGCCGTAGGGGGTAGGGCACCAAACTGTGGAGCACCTGTTGGCCAAACTGGCATGAACCACCAAATCAGTATTTTGTGCTCATCTCTAGCTAGGAGCACACATTTCTCACATATTTTCCAAAACAGAAGTGGGTTTTGACAGAGGTTGTTGCAATCTGCTTGTCCCTCATTTCTCTCTGCAGACATGTCGTGGGACTTAGGAAGCTGAGTGGAACTCAGACCATTTGCATGTATAATTATGTTTTGTCAACAGAGATTGGCAGGAGCTTGCTAGAAAGAATTTGTTAATTTGTTTAATATCGATGGTTTATTTTGTACTGTTCTAATATTGTAGTTGATTATGTTTTGGGATAAAAACTTTTTTAAAGCACACACAAGCTGCCTTGGGTCTTGCAAAGGAGAAAGGCAGGATAAGATGAACATCCATCCATCCATCCATCCATCCATCCATCCATCCATCCATCCATCCATCCATCCATCCATCCATCCATCCATCCATCCGTACATCTGTACATCCGTACATCTGTACATCCGTACATCTGTACATCCGTACATCTGTACATCCGTACATCTGTACATCCGTACATCTGTACATCCGTACATCTGTACATCCGTACATCTGTACATCCGTACATCTGTACATCCGTACATCTGTACATCCGTACATCTGTACATCCGTACATCTGTACATCCGTACATCTGTACATCCGTACATCTGTACATCCGTACATCTGTACATCCGTACATCTGTACATCCGTACATCTGTACATCCGTACATCTGTACATCCGTACATCTGTACATCCGTACATCTGTACATCCGTACATCTGTACATCCGTACATCTGTACATCCGTACATCTGTACATCCGTACATCTGTACATCCGTACATCTGTACATCCGTACATCTGTACATCCGTACATCTGTACATCCGTACATCTGTACATCCGTACATCTGTACATCCGTACATCTGTACATCCGTACATCTGTACATCCGTACATCTGTACATACGTACATACGTACATACGTACATACGTACATTCCTAGCCATGTCTGAAGATGGTGGGGAAAGCACTTGGGAACTTATGCATGAAAATGACATGTCTTCCTCTCTCTTCTCTTAAGTGACACTGAACATACAGTAGTTTTGTCTTGAATTTCAATAAATTTATTGTTGCTAGACAACTTATTTTTAAATATTAATTTCTGTTTTCTCTTTTCTCCCTTACTCTAGTACTATTGCTTGGAATCTAGTAGCTAGTTACTATGAAGAGTTGCCTTTTGGACGGTGTGGTTTAATGACAGCACAAGAACCATGGAGTGGACAGTACACTGTAAATCCTCCCATATGGGTCACAGGTACACACTTTCAGTTGGAGCTTTTTGTAATTTTTACAATTGAAGTTCTGCTTACCATTTTGCTTCCTGTGGTAAAATTATTCCAGCCCAGTATTCCTTAATATGGCACCTTTCTGTTGTTTGGGGCTAACCTCTACCTTACACAGCCAAATGTTAATGTAGATGATGGGAATTGCAGTTGAATATATCTGTAAGAAACTGTGTTCTTGCTAATTGCACATCCGTTACTTGTAATGCCATGTCCCCTTTGTTACTTGGCAAGAGCAAGAAGGGAAAGGGTATGAAATCCTAAGCAGAAGAGAGTTTGTCAGACACTATACATGCAAGGTTACATCATGTAATGTTGCCTTAATTAACTAGCAATGATACAAAGCTAATCATATTTTCCAAGATCTGGAACATTTGGTCATCTGAAGATTAACGAGTATACTGTTTTATTTTATTTCTCATTTTTAGCCTAATGAGTTCTGAATATGAAGAAACTAAAATATAAATGCATCAGTTGGATATTTGCATTTGTGTATGATGGCTTTGCAAATAAGAAAAAGGCTTTCTTCAATCGGCCCCCTCCCCCAGGTGTTAGACTGCAGCTTCTATCATCCCTAGCCAACACCGTCATCACAGCAAGGTGGCTGGGATGGAGGTGTGAGGCTGTGGTCCAGCACTTCTAGAAGGCACCAGGTTGAGTCAATCTGTTTGTAGTTTGCTTTGACTGATTCTCAGTTTAAGAAGTCAAGACATCCCCCCCCCCTTTTGTGCAATTGACAATTTGGTCGCAAGTGATGTGAAAGCCATGTCCATCATCACATGGATGAAATGTTGGATGGAATGTGCAGACTGGCTACGTGAGGGATTGTTAAGAATTTTACTTGAGAGCCATCCTTGTTCAGACTAATTAAGGCATACCTGTATTAAAAGAAAGGAACAAAGTACTGTGGCAGCTTAGAAAACAACGTTTGTTTCAGTGTGAACTTTGGTGGATCAAAAACCAGACATAGTTGTGGATTTTGATCTGTGAAAGCTTTCAATGAAACAAATATATCATTCTTCAAGGTGCCACAATATATTGTCCCTTTCCCCTCCCTTTTTTATTTTAATTTTGCCAACATACTGCAACAGACTAACATGGTTACTGTTTTGGAAAGTTTTTGAACTTCTGCAAGTCTTGACTTTCCCCCTGATGTTCCTGATCTTTTGAATTCTTAAATACTCACATGTAACAAGTTTATTATGAGGATAATTCTGTAGCTAAGAAAATGAGTAGCATTTCCCTCATGCTGTCCCTGGGATATGTGGAATAATTGCTGCAGTAGAATATGAAGCCTTTTGTTTGAACTTCTGTCTTGATATGTTTCTGAAACTCTCCTCCCCTTTCATTTACCTTATGAAAATTAATCTTTTTCGGGTAGTATATTAATTGGGATACAAAAACAACAATTTTGAGATACTTGGAGAAGACCCTTCTTTGGATCAAATTCATTTCATCTGCTTCTCTTGTTTGTTTCTTGTCTTCACACAGCACACACAACCCAGTTCACGCAACCAGGCTGGTACTACCTGCAGGTCGATGGGCATCTGGAAGCAGGTGGCAGCTATGTAGCTCTGACTGATGGTCAAGGCAATCTTACTATCATCATTGAAACAATGGTAATGTCAGTTGTCAAAATGCACTGAAATTTGAACAGATGTCTAGAATGCCAAACAGTGGCAAAGGATGTACTTTTTCATATAGCACATAGTAAGCTGTAGAATTTGGGACCGCACAAAGTTGTCATGGCTGCTGCTTAGGCAGCTTTAGAACGTGGATGGAGTGTTAGTGAGCATCGTGTATTATATGAGCCTTTGGTCTGATGCAGGTCAGTCCTTTTCATGTTGCTGCAGTTACAACATCAGATTTGTAAAGTACTTTGAACATTTAACTACCCTGTTAATGCTTAGTATGGTTACTATAGTGCCATCTGTGCAACTAACTATTCAGAGGAATGAGGGTAGCACGAAGGACCCTTGAAAGATTATTTTCTGCAACATTCTTGCATAATCTTTATAACAGAGTAACTTTGAAATGGGGATTTTCATTCTTACACTGCCTCAATTCTGCTGAATTCTGTGGTCGATTATACAGAAGTAAATTATACATTTGCTATGTTTTGTGGGTTTGACATTTGGAGGCCTGTGTTTGACAAGAGAATGGTAACACGTGTTTTGACCTGTCTAGCTCCAGACTAAAATGAATTTTAACCAGGTCCTAGGGCCTTCTCCTTCCAAAAGTATTTTGCAGCTTTCTGCTGTCTACAAGTACTGGAAGCTGAGTTCTAATCATATGTTAATATGGGATACACATAGGCATTTGTTGTGTACAACCACAATGAATTAATTAAGAGAATTCTAGATACCTTAGCAATGGCACACTCAGCCATGAATATTAAAAGGGAAGGGAAGAAAACAGTAGTTGATATGTGTTCTTCCCTGTTCATTTCAGACACATGACCACTCTGAATGCATCAGGCCACCTCTGCTTCCATTCTTTGTGTCACCACAGAAAGCAACCTTCCATCTTAAAGGATCCTTTGTAAGTAAATGGCATTGTACTCTATTTGCTTCCCACTCATTTTTGTGTGTTGTCACTTCTGTTCCATTTGACTTGCGTATGTTTAGAAAGCATAGTCAAAGTATAATTAAGCTTGTATTATTCATAAAGCTCTCTTCCATGGATTCTTCTTTTTATACAAACACGATCAAATATTGGTCCTAATTTAGTACTTAATGCATGAAATATAATAAGTTATCACTGGATAGCTTGGAGTTTTGAGCAGTCAGTTTTTGGACTGCAGGTCCTCGAATTCACTGCTTGACATGGTCAGATGGTTTAGGCTGGCTTATACAGCAATCCTCACCTACAGATGTGCTAACTAGTGTGGGGAATCAATGGAATGAGAATACTCTTCCATTATGGAGAGCCATATTTTGCCTGTAGACAGTTTTCTGACTGCAGATCTAAGGCCAGTGGAAGGAAGTGGGATGTTCCAGGGGCACAAGGCAGCAGGTTAGAGGCTGCCATTGAATTGCTAGATACAACCCCAATTCCTCAAAAGGGTCATCAGCATTGTCAGCCTGATGCTTGTATAATTATGTTCCTTTCCCCTTGGATTGGGGATTCCAAGCATTAAAGTTTTGTGAGGGCTCTGTTAAGACATAGGACATCTTGCTGTGGTTTGTCCTCAGTCTAGGGGGCTTTGGATGTGATAGAACATCTGCCACTTCACTACCTATCCCCACCTCTTTTAGGATTTCTCTGCCAGAAATGACTGAACAGTGCAGTCGGAACTTAATGATGCATTGTTTGATTAAGGGGGTTAGGATTAAGTACAAGCCTCTTCTAGCAACCAAAAAATCCCGGCTATCTAGTCTCAGAGATCTGCTGACAAGGCAGTCTGCTGGAAGAACTGCTCTGATGTATGAGATCTGTTTGTGTGTGTGTGTGTGGGGGGAAGGGTGGTGGTGGAGAAGAGGCTGTGGAAAGGAGGTGTTGAGTTACCCCACATCTGGATTTCCTTGCACACAGGAATGCTGCCCAAATGGAGGCACAAAATCAGGCCAGTGTGAGGGTGGTTCAGTGGTTTAAGCATCTGGTTGTGGAGCCAGAGGTTGGGAGTTTGATTCCCCACTGTGCCTCCTTGAAATGGGCTGGACTCAGTTATCCATAGGGTCGCTTCCAGCTCTACAGTTCTAAGATGATGATGACTATGATGGTTGGGAAGAAGTTGAATGCAGTATAGATTCAGCTGGTCTACTCTTGGTTCAGCTGGCCCGTGGCTAGTTAGGATCTCACACTTATTGTTAAAGTTAAGAGGTTGGCAAAGTTACTTTTTGGATTACAGCGTCCTTCATTTCCCAGCCAGCATGACTACCACCCAGCCTGGTTGGGGAATTCTGCTAGTGAAATGTCCAGGCTTGACTAAAATGGTAATCTGACTTTGTTCTAGATTTTTACAGAGGGTGTGGGTCAGACAGTTTCATAGTCCATGACATTATTGACAGATAACAAATCCTTTGAGTGCTATAAGAGAACCGAGTGCATTTTTTTTTCTTCCTCAGAGCAAACTGACCGCTCTTCAAATGTGGTATTCTAAGCTTGAATTTACATCTTCCAACTCCACCTTGTTCCAGTCACTTGGGCCTAAAAACGTAAGTGGGTCCTTATCTGGAGGTCATCAGGGACTCTGTTACTAAAGAGCTGAGCTGCATTGCCCAGGGCGCATTAGACCATGTGTGATGTGTAACATGTACAAGTACATTTGTTTCAGTTCCCTGGATGTTATTTTGTAGAGTGTTGCGTCTGTCACAAAAAAGAGAAAGAGGAAGCAGCTCTCTTAATGGGTAACATGATAGGTACCCACATCTGGCTTGTGTGTAATCTGAGTCATGTCATTGCCAGGGAGACTCAGCAGTTGTGTTTCCAGTGAAGCATTTAAAGTGGAAATGAGAAAAAATGCGTTATTCTCAAATTGCTTCCTCCCATGCAGCTTTTCTTTCACATTGTAAACTGCCTTTGAAGCTTGTGTAGCAAGGTGATGCTTCCTGCTCTGTCATCCTCTCATGACTCTTTGCACTTCTGCTCTTGGTTACTTAGCATTTGGGTCACGGGGTGGAGTTTTGATTTACAACTCCCAAAGTATTGCATCATTCACCATGCCGAGTAAACTGACAGGAGCTGTAGAGGAAAACATTAGAGAGCCAAAGTTTGCCCAGGCGCATCTGGGTGGCATGCAAACAATATGTTGGACAAACGTAATTCTTAGCAACACACATCTATGTTGTTGTGATCTTTTTGAAGTTCTATAATAAGTACGCCTGAGTCCCCAGTATATTCAGGTTCTGTTAGGTGCCATCTCCTGTTTATTTTTGTGACTCATTGATGGAATACATAAATGGAATACAGTACCTCGCTAGAGTTGTCTGATAATATGTTGCATTCAGGGTGTGGCAAAGGCTATCCACACCTGTTCCAATGTTGGATTGAAACTTTGTTATTTTAGCATAGGCTTGTTGAAATAAATAAAGGCAAGTAAACTCCGAGTAATTCTCATTAATTTCAGTGTGTGTGCTTTAATTGAGATTAGGTTTGAAGCCAACCAGTTAGTTTGACACACCACTCATGTTCTGTTTATTGTTTGTTTGTTTATTTAAAATATTTTTACCCTACCTTTCTCCTTAAAAGATCCAAGGCAGTTACCCTGTTAGTTCTGAAGTATATACTCAGGATGAACTATTTTTTGTCTGTCTACTACTTCTGGTGAACCACTTGCTTGTCCTCTTTTCTACACAGGTCAGCGAAGGGGTGGTGACACTAAATCTGGGCCTGGATGAGGTCTATACTTTGACAACCCTGACCACGGGACATAAAGGCCGTTTGCCAGAGCCTCCCCCATCCCAGCCTTTTCCATCCTGTTACAAAGATGACTTCAATATCCGTAAGTCAGTCTGTGAAGCCCTTGTTGGGAAATCCCTTCAATCTTTATTTCCTGGTGGTCTTGGGCTACTAATAATCTTTCTTTAAAATTAAGGACAGGGACCTTATCAATAGTATCAATTCCGAGTAACGCACAGCAGACAATGTTACAAAAACTGCAGTCATGCAGATATTGAATCTGGAGCAGCTAGTGTTTGTACTGAGTTTCTTTCTACATTCTTCCAACTTTAGACAAGACCTCTGTCTTGTCATAGGTGCACAGATATCTCTCTGTGTTGTTCTTACTACCAGAGTCTCCTTACAGAAGAGTTAAGAATGAGTATCTTAGTGAACTTCACTAGACATTTCTGAAGAGGTTTTCTGGCCCCCATTTTGCTTGATGATGACAAGCCATCAGTTGTTTCTTACCTGGGGATAGTGGAAAAATTCTGCAGCTGTGACACTAAGCATGTTGTTCCCTAGATATTGTGCTGTTGTGATCCTGGAAGAAGTTGTTGCTTCTGTTGTAGTGTAAATATCTGTAGGTGTGCAGAAATTAAACCGTGCATCTTTTGTTCTCCTACAGGTGACCCTTCTTTCAGGGAGGCACCCTACTTTGCTGATCAAACTGGAGTATTTGAGTACTTTATGAACACTTCTGCTCCTCAAGACCATGTATTTACACTCCGACAAGTGGTGACACAGAGACCTGTAACTTGGGTTGCTGATGCAAGGAACACCCTGAGTATTATAGGCAATTACAAATGGTATGTAGCTTACTGCAGTGGAAGACACTTTGTTTACAGTTTGCATCAAGTTTGCCATGGAAGCTGAGTTATATTGATGACCTGCTTAATTGCATATTTTAACATCCCTGAATGCAAAGGGAGATTCTTTGCTAGTGAATGGGAGAGATCCCACCCCCTTGTTCTCCAAGGTTTTTTGTGTGCTTATAGGTATTGAATGTAATCCAAGACTGCCACCTGCTGCCTCCTTCTGTGTAATGAAAAACTGATGAAAGCAAGGTCTTGGGTAAAGGGAAATATATGCACACATTTCACTGTGCTTAAAGAAGACATACTTAGGCTGTGTTTATAGCTGCCTTACAGGAAGGTGCGTGACCGGTGGTTGCCTTTTATTCAATGCAGCAATCAAGTTGTTCTGATACTGGAATCTTAGAGGTGAATTTGCTATAACTGTTTCCCCTGTCTTTCTGTGGTTTGTTTAATTTACTTTTAAGAATTTCTGCGCTGTTCAGTAGAAATATTTTCAGGGTGGTTTACAGTCAAAACAATACAGTAGTATAGTGCCATAGTACTTTTGGTTATTTTTACCTGCCTTGTTGCATAGCTCTGCTGCTGCTGTTTTCGGGACTGAGCTGTGCCAAGAATTGAGAAGAATGCAACCTCTCACCAGCTGGAAAGTGGTAGTTTGTACATTTGCCAAGAACAGAACTGGAAAGCAGGATAGTGAAGCAACCCAGAGAGGTGGACAGTTGTCTTGAGCCTCTGAGCTGTTTGCTTGGATGCAGTCGCTCTTTGCTTTAGGCAGGCTGCAGGTTGTGCCTTATTCTTAGAGGCGTTTAAATGTTCAGTCTGTAATGGGTTTTGCTTTGTTTTGGCTTAAAGCTAAGCAAAAATGAAACATTTGTATGTTACAAATGAAACTCTCCAGCAATCAGTGAAGTATTTCTGTTCCAGGTGTATTACAGCATTAAAAACACGGCAGGAAATGTTGATATTCTGTCTTGGGAAACAAACGGGAACATGCCTAGGCAGGCTAGACACCAGTAATTTTCAGTGCTGTGATGTAGTACCGTAATATCTGGTATGTCTTTACCTCCGAATAAACAATAGTAATCTAAATCTAATTTTAAATCCTATCTACGGCAGACCCACTAAATCACAAAGAACTTGGTAAAACAGAATTTATATAAGTTTCACTGATTCAATGGATCTACTCTAGTTCAGAATGAGATGTGGCATCTGGTTTGACTTATTTCTCCCTGTGCCATTTTGTGCTGAAAATCCTTCACGCCACCCCACTGAATCAAGTGTAACTTTTGTGTGCAGATAAGCAGCTTATGGTGGGTTTTACTTCCATGGGCACTACAGTCCAAATCATTTTCTTCTTTTCTGCATAAGTTAGCGTTAGAGTTTCCCAAGCAAGTGCGGGAATGACAATCACGTGAGTTCACAAGTATTCAAAATGTATTAGTTACAGAAGTGTACATGTACTAGTTTTCTGAAAAAACAAAAGGAAAAAACCTTCTGTCAAAACTGTGACATTGTTCTTCATTTTCCTAATACGTTGTCTTTTCCAGGGTAAACCTAACAATAACATGTGATGTTTATATAGAATCAGATAATGGAGGTGCATTTATTGCTGGCAGAGTTAACAAGGCTGGAATATATGTTGGAGATGCTCAAGGCATTTTCTTCTGGGTTCTTCCAGATGGCACGTACCGAGTCACAGGTGACCTGCGTAAGTAACTTTTAAGTCTGCTTTAAGTGCTCTCCAGTTGAAAATTTATCCTGAGGTGTTTCTGGGAGCATGATGCTCTGAATCTGTTATGTAGAATTTTGTATTGTTTCATAGATCAACAGTAGATTTCTGCTCCAGTTCTGGATCAAGCCAAGATGTTCTTGTTAGTTTGTCAGACAGCAATGATACCTGGCATGTAGGCTGTTGAAAATCAAATTTCTTCAACCCCAGACTGTTCTTAATGGTTCTTATTTGTCATGTCAAGTGCTGAAGCACTGAAGAAGGGCTAATTGGTATAAAATATCAGGTCGTCTTTTGGTTGGTCAAAAAAACTTCTCTTGTAGTTCCATTGGGCTCGTATAAAGGTAGAAAATGTGCAGGGTGGAATGCTAATCCAACCACTGGCTGTATCCCATGCTGGATTTATAAAAGAGTTCAGGAATATATTTTTGGTCTCTGCTTCCAGACCAGGCCTGTAACCTGCCTGATTCACTGGCTCTGCATTCCCATCCACTTAAAATAGGCCTGGGATATCAGTCCATCCTACTGATAATTTTTCAGACTTATCCAGTTAAGTTAAAGAAATGTATTTAAAAGTGCAGTTTCAACAGAAATAAGAGAAGGCATTGCAAGAATTTAAAGGTACCACATTCACATCAAGAAAGGACAGAGCACGTACAAGATAATGTGAGGAAGTGGCCATTTGTCCTGAGAATGTGCCCTGAACTGAAGATGACACATGAAGATCTCCAGGTCAACAGCTTTTATCCCCCTCTAACTCCAACCTTTATTACAAGACTGACATCAGTTCATTAAGCCAAATTATTCAAAAATCAGCCTAGTGATTGGCTCCTATTCCGGTTTAAGTCACCTTTTTAGTAAGCATGTCCTGCCTATCTGCAGGCAGTTTATTCTATTTGTACCTGATACACATCTCAGAAAACCCATGCTTGCAGCCATTCCTCAGAGTCAGAAGCTGTTTCTTCACTGACTCATTCCTTCTTTTGATATTCTGACTTGACCCTGCTTGCTCTTAGGACACAGCCACTCCCTTCTAGTTGATAATCAGAACTGTCTGTTAAATGACTCATCACATGTACCTCAATCTTAATAACTCATTACAGAGATATTAACTGTGATTTACAGCATATATTTTAAGCCTATGTAGAGTCATAGAATTGTAGGGCTGGAAGGGACCAAAAGTGTTATTGAGTCCATCCAACCAAAGGTGGCCATCTAATCTTTATTTAAAAACCTCCCATCTACCAACTCCAAGGCAGTCTGTTCTGTTGTCAAGCAGCAACTGACAAGAGGTTCCTCCTAACGTTTAGGTGAAATGCTGTTTTCTGATTTAAATTCATTACTTTGGGTCCTACCCTGAGGAGATTTAAAAAAAAACAAACAAGCTGTACCCAACTTTGATGTTGATAATGAAAAACATAAAAATTGTTAAAAGATTTCACATATGTCAGTTCAGTCATCAATCCAGTTGAAGACTAAAGCCAAGAAGTCAAAATAAGACTGAGACTTGGAAGGGCAGCTAAAAAAAGTAATTAGAAAAGATCCTGAAGTGCAGCTGTGATTCACTGGAGACCAAGGTTCTCTCTAAGGTGTGTCCTACTTTCGGCCCCGCTCTGTGCACTGACAGCAATAGTTTTTCAGCTCCTTTGGTTCTGGTTGCAGTGGAACCCCGTGAGGGGCAGAGACCAGCTCAACAGGGCTGAAAATTAGAGAGAATGCGGCTGGAAACCAACGTGAATATCATCTATATACAGTGGTATTCCTGATTGCTTTGTGTACATTGTAGTCAGGAACATTTAGGGCAGGGACTTTGGAAACCTTTATTAATAAGTTTAAATGACAACAGAATGCTTCTAAGAAATTGCGTACATGACAATTTGGAAAGAAGTGTACTAAGTGCCACCTCTGGAAGTTTATAAATTAAAACAGAAGCAAGGGAACAATTGAGAAAGAAAAAAAATGGGGTTTTGGAACACTGAATTATTTGTCCTCCATGGATTTGCTCTTAGGTCTATTAAGGTGTAAGGATCAGAGAGAAGATCCAGAGGCTTCCCAGAAAAGTTTAATTTTTAGGACATACAGTACTTAAAAGTAATGGCATTGAGGAATGACATCCGAGTCATTCTGGGAAGCACTAGAGGAGAATACACAGAGTTATTCCAGGAAGTGCAGGCCCTTTGGAGTGATGTGGCCAGATGAGTGTAGTTTTCAGGAAGGAATATATCTGAGAATAAAGTACAGAGAGATAAGAGCAGGCAAGACCATCGAAGCAGTAACAACAAAATGCTCTTAAAAGTTCCAAATCATGCTGTGTTCAAGATCTTAAATAGAATCTGTAACAGTAGATAGGTTCACGAACTGATGTATAGCATTTGTATGTTACTTAAGTAACATCTTTGCTTAAAAAGAAAGTAGTCATAGCATTGGTAGAGCTGGGTTGAATCGGAATATCTGTTTGGAGAGGAAACTCAGCTGAGCCTACGTCACAGAGTTGATGTATGGATAAAACAGTATTTCACTCTGAATCTTTGTCCGGTGGGTAGGAAAAGGAGAAGTAATATTAGACATAATACAAAATGTTTCTGTTCTATCACTGAAATTTGAATTCTTGGAAACAAATTTTCAAAATGTTTGTTTGTTTGTTTGTTTTGTGTGTGGGATATGGTGGCGCTGTGGGTTAAACTGCAGAAGCCTCTGTGTTGCAAGGTCAGAAGACCAGCCATCGTAAGATCGAATCCACGTGATGGAGTGAGCTCCCATTGCTTGTCCCAGCTCCTGCCAACCTAGCAGTTCAAAAACTGTAAATGCGGGTAGATAAATAGGTACCACCAAGGTGGAAATGTAATGGCGTTTTGTGTCTAGTTGCGCTGGCCATGTGACTACAGAAACGATCTACAGGCAAACGCCGGCTCTATGGCTTGGAGATGGGGAAGAGCACCACGCCCTAGAGTTGGACACAACTGGACTAAATGTCAAGGGGAACCTTTAACCTTTACCTATTTATTTATTTATTTATTTAAACTTAAAGGTCAGTACAATAATAAATCATAGTGACTCAGTTTCTCTATAAGTTCCATTGACTCAAATAGATTCAGTGGGCTTCTTTAGTGCACTTAAAGATCAATACAATAATAAATCATAGTGACCCAGTTTCTCTATAAGTTCCATTGATTCAAATAGATTCAGTGGGCTTCTTTAGTGCAATTTACTATGCTAAGCAAAGGATTTTGGCTATATATAATTCTATATAATTCTATATAATTTTGATTCAGTTCCTAGTCAGTGGGACTGCATCAAATCCTTTAAGCCCAAGAAAAGTGTGAATACCATTTTGTCTCTCATTTTTCCGGTATAGACATACTCATTTTTTCAACAAAATGTTTGTCTGATGTTCCCCTACTTCTTATTGTGTTACTCTTTTTCATTCTCTTGAAGCTGCAGTCGAAAAATAAGCCATCATTTCTGAACCCTCATATAGTATGGTACATTTAACATCCCAGAATAGAATATTCTGTCATAATTTTAATGTTGTTCAAAATATTGTTCCTATAGTGTGTGATATTATGATATGCTCTCTATATGAAGAAGCTTCAAATGTCTGTGTGTATATTTTTATATATATTGCAGATGGTGAAAACGTCTTGATGAAAGGGCTGGCGGGTGTACGGACTAAATCATGGCACACACTCACACTGATTCTTACGGTAAGCACTGAAACTGAAGTATACAGGTGTACCTTGGTTTACAAATGTAATGCATTCTCTGGGACGTTACATAATGCGAAAAATTAGTAAACTGAAACATGATTTGCAATAGGAATGGGGGCGGCACTCTAAACCTCCAGGCACAATGCATCCTTGGGAAACTTGCTTCGTACTGTGAAAAAAAACCCTGTAAATGGAGGTATTATTTTCAATGGATTTCCGTTCATAAACCAAAAATTACATTAATTGAGGCTTTCATAAGCCAAGGTAGTACTGTATTGGGTTGCCCTTTGACTGGTTGTGACATTTGCCCCTACTTGAGAATTCCCAAGATCAACAAACTCTCTGTGAAAAGCCATTATTCTCTTATTGAAAACCTGTCTTAAAGGGTTTATGAGGGTCAGAGAACAGAAAGAAGGCAGGTTTGGCTGGCTGAAATCTAGAAGAATAGTATTCCACACACCATGTTTTATGGAACCCGCAACAAAATGTAGCAGTGGGGGTTGCTTGTGATCAAGTCTTCAGTGTTGCATTTTGGGTACTCCGGTCTGATGTATCAAATATGATGAAGAGCCTTATGGTACTTGAAGACTAACAAGAGTATTATGGCATACACTCTCATGGACTAGGCAGTAGCAGCAAACCTTTTTGGGCTTGCATGCCGGAACTGGGAAAAAACAAACAAACAGCAGGTGGCGTGTCATGGCGGTGGCTGATCCGGAAGTGGCAGCAGAAGGGGGGATCCCAGCACGGAGGTGCCTTGAGACCCCACTCCAGATCCGCTGCCAGTGCCAGCTGCTCCGGATCTGCCTGCTGAAGTGTCAGCACTGCGGCTGCAGCCGCCTTCTCAGGTTTGGCTGCGGGGGAGGGGCCGCTTTCTCAGGTTTGGCTGCGGGGAGGGGGGGAGTAGTGATCCGGTAACTTATGGCTTGCGTGCAGGCAGAAAGGCCTCCGTGTGCCAGCTGTGGCACACATGCCATAAGTTCGCCATCACTGGACTAGTGTCTCCTTTGTCAGATGCATGATGATCACCCGAAGTTGGCAGGTGTAAGACACACATTGTTACATGTGGAAGAAGTGAAATCAGAGGGAAGTGAAATGCAAACTAACTGTGTAAAAATTCGTTGCAATGACCATTTACAAAGTAACAGGGGTGAAAATGCAAACATTTAGTTATTGATAAGCTTTCTGTTACATGCTCAAATGCACTCAGTCTGCACAGTTGGTTACACACTGGGTCACAAACCGGGGTGCATGACAGGTGACTAGCACAATATGTAAAATAACTTGCCCTTAGACATGCGGTGTTTCACAATAGGATTTTGAAAGATAGATGAAATGGGTCTGAAATGACAGCATATTTATTTCTGTGGCATGGCACGAGCCAGCTACAGTCTTGGTAACATACTGCCTTTGCTTGTTGAATTTTGTAGTGATTTCGAGCTCTGATTTTAGTGCCATGTGAGGTGATGTCAAGCAAGCTTGGGTTCTTTTGCAGTGACCCTCTGTTACCTGGGAGAAAAGCTTCTCCTGAAATGCAAAGCCCTTCTATGCTAAACATATCAGCTACATTCGCAATCCGTTCTCATTTTGGTTAATACAGTACTTAAAGAAAGAGCTTGTTCACGACTATTAACAGAACCGGAAATCTTGCCAACAGAGAGAAACCTTTCCTGCCATTTGAAGTTCTCCAAAAGCCAAGTCTTAACACCCAGAGTTGCGTCCAGGATCTTCTTTCCATTAGCAGAAAAGCTTCGTGCATGGAAGGTGCATCAACCTGGTTGTTGGGGATACTACAGTTTCCATGCATCATAGCTCACTCTGTTCAGCAGAATTTCTCTGTCTTGCTCTATGCCATTTTCAGGCAGATGGACTGTTTGCCATGTGGGAGAAGGAATGGGGAAGTCTGTTTTCTTAACCCTGTTTTGTAACAGAATTAACAACATTACCATTCAGTGCTTTTACATATCAATTTGCTATAGCTGTGGCCTGATTTCATGTTATCAAATAGTTTCACAGATCTCATGCTTGACTAAGCCAGTTGAGTGAATGTATATCAAACCTTATCTCTTGATGTCCTTTCCTTATTTTTCACAGGGCTCCAATGCCTCTGGCATGTTAAATGGCAATCTCCTCTGGGCGAACGTCACTGTGTTCTATCCAAAGAATGGATGGGCAGCTATTGGGACACACTCATTTGAGCTTACACAGTTTGACAACTTTCAGGTTCAGGCCAGCTGAAGTTTCCACCGTTTTTTTCCTCCATTGTACTAGAGCCAAGTCAAACATCAAATGTTTGATTTTTCTGTTGTAAAAGATCCTTTTTGTTTCTTTCCTACTGTCCTTATAAATGCATTCAACTTTCTCCTGAATGGGTAAATATGTTTGCATCATCCTAATTATATTTCTCAAAGAATTCATCTGTTTTTCTCCTGAGCAGAAAACCTTAATTCTACAAAGTGTTTTTTTCTTTTCATTCAAATTTCTGTTGCAAGCTGTAAATGAACTACAACTCACTCCTATGCTTTCTGCTGATTGGGATAACAGCCTAGCATTATTTTTAAGAAACTTGAAAAACAAATGCTGTTTTCAGTTGTTTCTGATACCTATGAAGTCTATTCTTTCACTGAGATTTCAACTTAATCAAGCCAGGTACCCAGTGTATGTGACAATTATGGAGTGTGGTATTCTAAAGATATTACACTTCTTTTTATATTCCATCTGAGGTGATGCAGCAAAGGACTCAGCAGATTTGTCTGCTCCCATGAAATAAGAGATGACACATACTTGTCTGATGCCTTAATTCTTCTGCCTGTTTTTAATGAAAAAGAAACCAGCTAATGGTTGGCTGGATCTTATATGAAGTGCCTGTTTAAAAACTACCTCTGCTGCTAACAGCAGTGTGGCAAATACGATGAAAGTGCCTGTGTTTTATTCTGTGGTTAACAGCCCTGCAATTTGTATTGCTTTTTGTTTCTGTTCTCCTTTCCTTCCAAAAAAAAGGAAGGGGGAAAGATCTCCTGAGTGTTGCTGTGAAAATTCGCCGTCCATTCACACATGAAGGTGTTCCTCTACGGCCACTTTGAAAACACTCCAAGCTGCTGTTAAGTCTACACATCTGTGTGAACAGTAATCTCTGTGTGGGTAATTTAAATGACATTTCCCAGCTTTTATGGTGCTGGATTGACAGCTGTTTGCAAGGAGGAAATGGTTGGCACAAACAGAACCTCCATGTGGGCTAGTTGTAAAACCATGATTGGCCTGCTGCATTTTCAGTGTCATCCTGTATGAAAGATGTACAATATTTTGCATTGACCGCTAATCTGTTTTACGTGTGTAGGCCTGCTTTGTAAGAAAGATGGGAGGTCTCCCATTGGAAGCAGATCCATAATTATTTGGCAAGAGTGGAAGCATTAAATGGCCCAAGGGAGCAGAGCCATTTGCCTGTTGGCAGTATACTGGGTAACCTCCATATACAAAACACTATATGAGCTACTGCCAAGCACAAATTCTAACCCCAAACTCCAAAAAGTGAGGGACAGAGCTGCACAAAGATATAGCCACATATTCCTCCTTCTTTAACTGATAAGTCGTAGAATGCATCTTTTATGACACCCATGCCCAGATTCTTAAAATCATCAATTTGATCTTTTTCTGTTGTTGGCCCATTGAAATTATGGGATAGATTGTGATAGAAAATGCCCCTTTTAAGAAAGGTTCTCTCCACCTCCCTTACAATTTAAATAGGTTTCTGAGAAATGGATGGTTCAGATCTCTGTTTTTCAGGCCAAAGAACGCACAAGCCCTTTGATTTTATAAGGAGCCTCTTCAGTTTTGTAGTTAAACCCAAGATGCCTTGGATTAACCTTAATTGACTGTTTCATCCAGATTAGGAAACAGTTATTTGCTTTAGAACAGGCCAGGTTATTAAATCAGTTTTGAAACCATAGCTCAATGTATAACTTGTTCCAAGGTTATTAATCATAGTTTTCCCCCCAGTTCAGATAAAAGAGAAAGTGACTTTCAGTGGAAACCCTTCTTAGTTTATTCACAGCAAAGGGACTTCATTTACATACAGGTGGTGATACCCTAGCATAAGAAGCTAAGATATTATTGCTTAAATATACTTGAAGCGTAATAAAATTTATGTACGTTTAACTCATGGAGGGTACGTTATGAGAGATCAATACTTCACGCCTGTCCTGTTCATTAGCTTGATACTTCAGGGTAGGCAAAAAGTAGCAAACAAGCCAGAGAGTGTTCCTAAGATATTTAAATACAGCCTCCTTCCACTGCTGCCCAAAGCACCTCCATTTTTTTAAGTGAAAAGTTTTGATTAAAACTTCCCCTTGTGTTCTCAACAGGAAAAGCTGTTGTATCATCTTCTTTTGGGCCGGGAATACTGTCTCCCATATTGAACTCCTTATTTTAACAGCTACACAAATGGAGAACTCTACTGAAGGATATCCATGAGTGTCTTATGTGAACATGGATGCTTTATGGTTATAATGTATTTGATCAAAGATGCTGATCAGACTAGACTCCGAAAGAAAGAAATTACGTTTTTCATTATGACATTTCCTTCCTGATAGCCTGATGGATATAAGGGATGAACAACTACATCTGTTCCAAAGATGTGATCTTTTAAAAAATGTTTTTGCACTAGGTTAACAGATGGTTCTATTTTTGCATTGTGTACTAAATATAGTTATAATCACAAGTTCAGTTTCTTGTTAATTTATGAAATATATTTGAAGTTGCAGTGTTGTAATTATTCTAAGCAGGTGAATGTTCGTTGTGTGTTGGGCTTACCCGATTCTTAACAAGCTGTGTTTATATTTTAGTGAAAGGCTGACATATATGTGATTGACTATTGCAAAAATCTGATATTTCAAGCGGGGGAAAAAAAGGAAAAATAAATACTGTTTTAAAATTGTATCTGTCTGCAATGCAACTTTGTAAAAATATCATAATATGTGGGGAATCAGTGACAAAGTTTCCTGTATGATGTAGGACATAAGAGTTCTTGCAAATGAAGTTTGTCACGGATTTGGCGACAGGAAAAACGCAGAGTTATTGAAGACACTTACAAGTTCTTCTTTTACGGTTGTATTTACAAGTATTTACAGGCAGGCATCACATCAGCATGGCAGGAACTCTTTACACAAACGGACATAGTGGCTAGCAGCAAATGGTGGAGAAGGAAGAGAGGGATACACAGGCACTGTTCACTTATATACATATACATGGCATCTCTAGTCCCATCAGAAGACACATGACTTAATCCTTTGTACCTGGTGTCTTCTTGTTTCCAGACATTGCATCATCTTCAGAGTGACTCAGCATACTCACATCTGTGCACAATGGCAGCTCGTTAATAATACATTTATTCAGGTTCAGGCCTACAAAATTTCTATATTCTGACACCATTCATATTTACTCAGTAGTAAGCCCCACTGAATTAAGTAGAACTTGCTTCCAGGGATATATGTTACAGATATTGCTGTTGTGTGTCCTCAGTTCTGTGTATGTGCAAACATGCATCTGTGAATCTGTGGTTGTTGTGTGGAAATTTGTTGCACAAGGAAATACTAGGATTGTTAGCAGAGACCTGGAATGCACATGGTAGATGGTACTTGTTGTGTAATAAAAGCAGGGATTTAGCTGAAGAACACTGTGGCAAAAGCTTAAAGGTAAAGAAAGCGTTTGAAAGGTTTCTGTTAAGAAGAATAACAAAATGAAATCATCCACACCAGAGCTGTGGTGGGCTATGGTGCTCTGAGGCCCAGTATATCATCCCATCCTTAATCAATTGTAGGTGGCATCAGCATGCCATTATATTCAATCGTTTAAAACATAGTTTCCCACCTTCTGCATGAATGGACGCTTCTATTTTACCATAAATGATTGCAGCAGGAAAAGATGTATGTCAGGGATGGAAAGAGTGCAGCCCTCAGCCACATGTAACTCCTAGGGACCCAAATGTAGCTTATAGCTGTAGTTCCTTTTTTTTAACTTTCTAAAAATTGTTAAAAAAACACATTTTTACCAGTGTGGGAAGCTGTTTTACCGTGTTTCAGATTCCTAGCACTCCCACTCCCCAGATTTATATATTTTTAAAAGGAAAATTGAACACTTGAGAGTATAAAGGTGCAATGAAAGAGCCTCATGGCAGAGTGGTTAAATTTCAGTACTGCAGTCAAGACTCTGCTTTCGACCTGAGTTCAATCCTGGTGGGCTCAGGTAGTCAAGCTCAAGGTTGACTCAGCCTTCCATGGTCAGTAAATTGAGAACCTCCTCAGTGAGGGGGGAGACAATGTGTAGCCTGTATAATCAAATTGTAAACCACCCAGAGAGTGCTATTGGGAGGTATATAAGCAGCACAATATTTTCAGTAAAAACAAGCTTTTAGAAAAAAAATGTTTTGGGGTTGGCAGGGCATGGAAGAGCCCTCTAGAGCAGTGGTCCCCAACCTTGGGCCTCCAGATGTTCTTGGACTTCAACTCCCAGAAATTGTGTCCAGCAAAGGTAGTGGTGAAGGCTTCTGGAAGTTGTAGTCCAAGATCATCTGGAGGTCCAAGGTTGGGAACCACTGCTCTAGAGGTTGGCCGCTGCTGTTTTTAAAGCATAACCAGTATGGTTAAGTCAAGAGAGATTCCAAATAGTACTCCCTCCCCAACCCTATTTTAGCCCCTAGTCCTGTGACTGTATTCAGTGGTTAGCAATATTTACAGTAAACCATCCACTGACTTACTTTAGTGAAGATAAACTTGCATGCTTTAGTGAAGTGGGCACTTGCATGCTCAGCTAGGACTGGACAAGGGCTCTTGGAGGTTCCAAATGTTAATCATCTGATCTTTATATCAGGAGAAATTGGAATGACTCCATGTTTGTTATGGGCATGAACCACCATTCTGCGATTCAGCTGCACAGCTTATTCTGTGAGTGCCCATGGCTTCCTAGTCCTGACTTCTTTGGTGGTTGCCTATTCAGAGGTAGTGGTGTAGCTTCAAGCCCTGTCTTCTCTGGGCATTGCCTCTGAGTGGGCGCCTGCAGGGCTGGGGAGCAGGGCTGGGAAGCCGAGGCACCCACAGAAGAAGCTGTGCGGGCAAACTACTGAACCGCAAAAATAGCGGTCCATGCCCATCTGTAAAAAGGACAAGATAACAAGCATAGGAAGTGGCAGGCAAATGGAGAGTCTGCAGTTTCGCATTTCATAAGCTGAGTACCTCCTTATGGAAAGAAATATAATGATGATACTTTCATTTTCAAAGGCTTATACCTGAATGTTAACGTAACAGTCCAAATGGCTGAGCAATATTGGAAGCAGACTCCATATTGGACACAGAAATACAGAGCAAGATTATATTACAATGTTCGGGCTTGCCAGAAGGAGTAGGGAAGTGCAATAATAAATCTTAGGAAATACAACTGATGCTCGACTTAGAACAGATGTGCATGGAGGGTGGAAATCTTTATTCACTTTGAAATGCATTTGCAGACAATAATGCAGTCTATGAAGAGTGGCAGCAAAATAGAAAGTGTCAAAAAGTAGAGTGTGGAAATTCTTAACTGATAATGAGATTATTGCATTTGGAAAAAAGAATAAGCAGTTAGAAGTGTTGGTAGGGTTTAGAAAACTAGGAATTAGAATACCACAGTTATGTATATACCTTGAGATGTAAATTGTGTAAATGGAGATGTGTAAATGGAGATGTAAATTGTGCCTTTATTCCTTTAGCCCCAAGTCCATAGATGGATGAGCTTTTCCTGAAAAAAGCTTGTATATCTGCATCTTGCATGTGAGAAGGCTGGGCTTGTAAATAAACATGCGATATTGATTGTGAATTTGTTTTCATTCCAAACTGTCCGCCTTGCACGTATGGGTTAGATTTGACTTTTGAAGATCTGAAAAGGGCTTCACTGTTTTTCCAAATTGTTCAGAGCAGCTCGTGTGTGGTTCTCAACTAGTATGCCATCCAGGCATTTTAGTTTCAGCAGGAAAACTGTCAACACGTTGCCTTCAGAGAAAGCCTGTACAAAAGGAATGAGAACAAAAGAATGCCAGTGCTCCCTTCTTGCCTAACTCACATTTCTGTCCATATGTAAAGATGTCTGTGCTGGCTTTTAACCAAAACTGTCAGGATGATTTGCAAGAACACGAAGACAGCATTAAAATGAGTATAATAACTAGCATATACAATGACAAAACTAGAGGAGTAAAACAGAAAACTGTAAAGCCAAGAGAAGTAGAAGTTTCACAGATTAAAACCAGCTAGGTTTCTGGAATACTTGGGCCAATGAAAAGATTGTCGTGGGCAGGCAAATTCCTTGAGGTAAACGTGGCAGATGTGGAGCACCACAAATAGTGAAACCACTCTCTTTGGTCACAGCTCACCTAATACTAGACATAGGGAGCTAGAGAAGAATTTCAGATGACAAATGTAAATATTTAGGAGGTTTTTGAAAGAGGAATCTTTACATCACATGTTCATATCTATGTTTCAAGCTTGTGGTTGGATGTATTCTTTAAGGTTGGGAAGTGTGGCGTGAGCTCACGAGCAAAAAACATGAAGAAAAAGCTTGATTTGGATTGTTGCCTCATTCAACACAATTGTGTTAAATACAAAATCCCTAACTTTCTTTAAAGTCAAACAGTTGTGAGTTTGGTTGACATGATGAAGTGAAGAATACAGGGCTGAACATGGTTTAAAGTTTGAAATAACGGTGTGTATTAGTGACGGGGCGGGGAACAAAGAATGAAATAAGGAAATCTTAGTATGGATGCTGTGATAACACAGGAAAGTTCCATAAATAATATGGCTTTGGCTGTATTAATAGCATCTGAATGGAGGAAAAAGGTAGTTATAGTAACCTCTCCAAAATGTTGTACAGTAAGATTGTGTATCCATAGGGCATCGTTTCCAAGCCTGCCCATCCTGCAGATGCCCGAAAGCCCTGATATAAAAGACATATGTATATGTATAGCACAGTCTCTTGTTCCCTCTAGTGGCCAGCTCTATTAGTGCACCTTGGAAATGCAGGTGCTGATTCTGTCGATACAATGGTTCTACTGTATTTAAAAGTCATGGGGAAGGTGCCGATTCATGAAGGATGATAGGGTTTGGATCAGCATTTCCCACAAGACACTTCCCTGAGAAGCATTCTGAGATTTTGCTTTTTCTTACTGTCGCACAAATAAAAGGCCACAGTGCAGAATAATAGTAGTAGTAGTAGTAGTAGTAACTGTCGCCCAAATAAAAGGCCACAGTGCAGAATAATAATAATAGTTGTTGTTGTTGTTGGTGGTGGTGGTGGTGGTGGTGGTGGCGGTGGCTGTTTTCGTACCACACCCACTCTTTCTTAGAATAGATCATCCTAGGTGGAAGGCATTGTGGAGGAAACAATGTAGTAGCCAGGCTATCAACAGAATTACTGTTTTTGTTCCTTGCAATGATGGAGCAAAACCCCAAATGCCCCTTGTGGTGGATGGGGGAGGGCACACAAAACTAGGCTGCAACTTAAATATGATACATGGTTATAAGACTGTTAAAAAAATTCTCTTGGAATATATAGCAAATTGGGTTTCTCCCACAGTCTCTTAGCCCATGAGTAGGTGAAGAATTTTGAAACACCATTGGTAAACAGCTATCATTTTACTGGCTAGGTAGCATCCAGTGTACTTGTGTTGCATCACAACTGGTGTGTCTTTTGTCTTAGTGGTTCTCAACCTTTGGTGTCTTTCCTCCCACCATTCATCTTATCAAAGAACCTAATTCCCACCCTGATAGAAACATAAAGCTCAAATTCGTATGTTTGTAGTACTTCTGTTACTATCTTTATCTACTATACTAACTGTTTCAGGCAAAGCAATAGAAATACTTTTACAAGAGGAGCAATACCTAGGTACAGAGCTTCATAGAGGCAAAGAGAAGC